AGCCCACATTTTGAATTGTATTTCATGATAGGTGGGCAGTAAATAAACAAAGTATCTAATATCAAAAAGTGTACAATACAATAACATGTAATACAGATCTCTTTTTAATTGCAACGTCCAAAGATGTGCAGTAACATGTAATTCCAATCTCTTTGTAATCACGACATCCAACGAAATGAAGGAATACAGTAACATGTACGGTAATACAGATCTCATTTTAATTGCAACGTCCAAAGGTGTGCAGTAACATGTAATTCCAATCTCTTTGTAATCCCAACATCCAAAGGAATATAATATTATGGGATACATGTAACAGTAGAACGCAAATCATTGTAATTTGCACACTAGAACAAAGCTGTATTTTCTATCTAACAGAGTACATTTCACTATCAGAGTGTAGCATATTAACATCTAAACATGCGTATACATATACATATACAACATAGTGACGACAAGCCAGACTTAAAATTAGACTTACAGTGTCAATCAACAACTAAAAATAAGCACCAAGCAATTAATGAAAATAAAGCTTTAAGTTTTGACGTCAGGAGGATACATGATTTCAGTATCATTTATCAATTGGAAGCATAGTTTTCAGTAAAAAGTTTAAATAATTTAATTTTGGATGCCAACCCCCTTTCATTCAATATTGGCTCTCTGATAACAATTGGGATTGGCAGACTGGTTGCGTCATGACAACCACTGAAAATAAACGGTATATTTAGAATTTGAAATAATTATGACAAATATTTGACATGCACCTAAGGGGGTTGGACATATAGACAAGTACCTAAGGGGTCTTACTCTTGCAAAACATTTGCATACAGGATTAATCTAACAAATAAGACTATTAATAACGATTGATAATCATGATCCCATTGTGTAATCTCAAAAAGTGACAATTGCCTCTTTTGAACACATCTCAGGTGGCAGCGTAGGATTACCTTTTATCTACAAATTCTAAAATTAAGAATAGGTAAAAAATGTAAAAACACTACAAACATCAAATAAATGATGAAGCGTGAATAAAAAAAAAATCAGGGTATCTGAACTTGTTTCCATGGAAATAATGACTTTGTGATTTACCCCATAGCGTTAACCCCTAGTTTGGCAGCCATTTTGAATTGCAAATTTGTCAAATATTTGCGATTGATGTTCATAGATCAAACACTAGTTCAGGTACTCCAAGTTGTTTTTTTTATTTCAGACTTTCAAATAGCCAGTCACAAGGAAAGATTTCAGAAAATTCCTGTATTAAAAGTGTGCAGGCCATGTTTATCTTCGAACGAATAATTAAACATGCATATCACAGAGAACATCACGCATGTGAAATATATTCAAGCAAAGCCAGTGATATAATCATTCACAGATTAAAAGTGACAGGATTAAGATTAAGTATTTTTTTTGGCAATTGTCAGGATATCATGATTAAGCAGGTGATATTTGCCATCAAAAAAATTGATAAGTATTTGAAAAGCCTGCAACAAATTGCACTTGCATCTGGTGCCGCCAGAAATAAAGAGCAAATAGATCATTTTTAAAATATTTATTAAAATGAATGGAAAAATAGGATAAAAAAGACTTTTGTAATATGTACTCCAACATATGGTTATTATTGGTGGTACTGTACCACCACAAAAGTTGTATTATTTATATTTTTTTTTAACACTTTTTTTTTTCAATGTTTATTGATTCTAAAAAGAAGATAAAATGCTGATGTAAAAATGGCAAAAAGTTGCAAAGTTTAATATTTTATAATAAATAGTACCCTACAACCGGGAAAGTTTTTTTTTTTTTTCAATTCAACACATTATTCACGAATTGATTCCATAATTTGGCATATCATTGATTATGAATAAATTTATATGTATCACCCAACATAAATAACAGAAAAAAATGGTTTTGTTATATTAAAAAAAAAATCACCCCGGTTCTCGGAATGCCATAAAAAAAAAAGACAACCCTCCATGGAATTTGTTCTAAAAATCTTGAGTTTCTTTCAGTGTCTGTAGAGAATGACAGCGCCATCTATTGACATAATATAATATAATATATTGGTTTTTACAAGTTGACGATAAACACTAGCATATAGCAGATTAAAAAAGTAATTTTGAAACTGAAAGAAACTTAAAAACAAAGAGAACAACTGTGAAAAAAAAAAAAAAAAAAAGAGGCGTAACAACAAACTAAAAGGACAATCTAGAAAAAATAAACTTTAAAATAAATTTATTTTTTTTCCCACAATTATATTTATACAATGCTTTTTAAAAAGAAATTTCAGTTGAGCACCTTTGTGAAAAGTTATACTTCTGTCTTATCGTTATTTTGATATCTATTTATATCTACCACCTTGGCATTGCCATTAGGGGTTATAACACTAACGGGTTTAGTTGGTTCGTAACTACGCTTATGTCTTCGCCTCTGAAATACAACTATGATGATTACTATTAAAAGAACTAAACCCAGCGCGCAAAGTACAGCAACAATTGGAACAACTGGAACTGGATTTTTCGACGTGTTCTGACTAATTTCATATTCACCACCGAGGACCAAATCGTTACCGACGTAATTTTTATCGGTATGGTTCAACGAGATCATGTGCATGTTTGTTCCTTTGCCGTCGGTGCCTATTTCTTTGACGTCTTCCAGTTCACGTTTATAACGTTGCGTTTCTTGTGGTGCTTCTGCAATGCTGTGCATTTCCACACTGCGCTTGCCGATACCTCTATTGGCATTGTCAGCTGACCTTACAGTGTAGATCGCATGCAAGTACCACTGACGACCAGAAGAAACCTGAAATGATATACAATAACAGTAAATACAACAACACTACTTCTTCCTTATTTCAACTTAAAATTTAAAACAATTTGGCGGCAGGTCATGCTCATTATAATAAACGTCATGATATGTTACCTTGAATAGTGGATTACAACTCATTTTGAATCCATCAGAACCAGGTTGCTTCGCTAGCGGCAAAGCGGCGGGGTCATCTACGGCTAAGTGTGCATCAAAAGGAACACTACTGAATTCTCTTGTCACCGTATTAGGAGCTCCTTTGTCCTGTCAACATAAAAGTGATATACAATGTTACAACTACACAATGCCACATAACAATTTATTGTAAAGCATCTAAAGACAATGAAGCCTTTGAATATTGAAGTACTGTAAAATGACTAATTTTCGCTGGGTTTAAATTTCGCTGATTTACCATTTCAGGCATATTCAGTGGATGTTAAATTCACGGTTTTATCATTTAGATAATGTGTTCTATGCTAAATTTTACATATTCACTGGGTTTTAATTTAGCGCATTTTCCAGTCAGCGAAATAAGCAAAATTAAAACCCAGTGAATAATTAACCCCTTTACAGTATGATTTTTAGTGTAAACACATTACACTACATTACTCTTTTTGTGCAGATGAAATATCGTGTAATATGTTTATGCCTATAATTATGAATATAATCAAGGAGACTGGGCCGGGCATTATACATGTATATAAAGAGGTTACCAGTCTCCTAATACAGAGACCATTATAATTATAAACATATGAACTGACGAGTGGTTTATTATTATTACCACTACACCTCTATTGTTAAAACTTGCTTTTAACAGTAGCAACAATTTCAAAAATCATAGTTGTAAACAGTAAGTGATATGCAGAGTAAATTTGAATTTCTCTGGTGGTGCATTATGGGTAATATTGCATTGTGGAATGACAGATTAATATCAGAACTAATTTTTGTTGATTTGGTATTTTTGTCAGTTCATAGTTCCAGTTCCGGCCTACGAGTGTTACTGTTCTCTCTTTCGACTTTTTTTATTGCACATGCTGAGCATTTCAGCACAGCAATCAGAAATCATCCGTGGTTAAACAGGTTGACTTTTAATTGAAACAATGGCAAAATAGCAGATTACATTAAAAATAAATTCTTACCAATATTTTGAAATTATAAAGCAATGTCGGAGAGTCGGCTACGCATCCGTATTCTTGGTTTGCTGGGTCATATTTCGGAACATAACCATCCGATCCGGTGCACAGATATAACTTCTCTAAAGTAACAAAGAACGAGTCTCCAAGATTCTGTACTGGATCCACCATTATTCTTCCATACATTGTATCGCCTAGTAATAAAAATAACAAGTACTGCATCAGCAATTACTGTCAAAACAGTTTTAAATTTGCGAGAGACGAATCTTTGTGAATTTTGCAAAACAGTGAAAAATGTAAAATTTTGCGACAGTGAAAAGTTGTTTTCGACTCCATGACATGGAGCGTCAGGAAAAATTCTCAAAATTTTTGTCTTCATGAATACTATAAGTTCCACCAATCTTGAAAATTTCTTGTAGTGAAAACAGTTTATGTATGTACATGTATACTATTATAACTGTGGTAGCACTGGGTATTGCCCACTACTGATACATGCAAGCTGACACCATCAATGTACTATATTCATGCATACAGCAAGTAACAACTCTTTTTTGCTAGCATGTTATTTTAGCTAAATTAGCTACTCCAGGATTTCAACTAATTCAAGATGTAGCTAATTTAAAATACAGTATTTTCCGTACACTACACTGTGTGTGAAAAACTAAATACATTGGCCCCTCGCTAAGTCACTGGTGTTGGGATCCAAGCAAAAACTGTGACTTATCGAGGGCCGCGACTTACCGAGGGGTCTCGTGAAAAAGTGGTTTATGCATTGAAAATGGATGAAAAGCACATACCCACATGGGTTTATTCATAGTACTGGTATGTTTGGTATGTTTTTTATTGTACAACACCACAGCATCCATGTCTGCATAGATTCAATTCGTCGCTATGAGTTTTACAGCGCTTTATCAAAGGGAACTAGTCATAAATTCATACCCCATACATATACTTCATAAACAGTAAAATTCTAACTATGGTCATTCATGCATTTGAATTAAAACATTTTCATTTTTAGTCACTGGAGGAAGCACTACTGTAGTGACTACTATTGAATCGACTACTGTATCCTCAAATCCACTTTCTTTGGTGAGCACTTATTTTTTCAGCTCTAAAACTAGGTATTAGTAAGGACTCCCAAAGCTAGAAGTATTTCCATTAGTACACCTCACCAAGGCATTAATTCCTAAATTAATTAATTAAAGGTTGTCCTGTCTGTCAGGAGAAGTTTGTAACAGCGGTTACACAACAATAAGGATGGATACGCTCATTTTTATTTACGAATTGTTGATCTAGAAATATCACTATCTTCTCAGCCTTGCTTCTAATTTTTACTGTAAGAGAAAAATAAGGCTTCCTATAATTTTTTTTTTGGACGTCAATCCGTGTTCACTTTTTCGCTTACCTTCTGAGAAAGCTGCGTCACTTTCTGCGCCAAATCCCATGGAACCATCAGATAGCCAGAGATCCTCTTTAGAAAGCAGAAAGAATTGTGTATCCAGACTAAACCTGGCAGGAACTGGATCGCTGACTTGTTGGAATCGGATTGGTAGTTGAAAGGTGATGGGATCTCTAGGATTACATATGGGGGGTAAGCTGTATTCAATATCATTGGTTGTTGTGCACGGCACAAGTTTTATGATGTAATCCCCACTGTAATCTTTCACCTAAACAGGAAACAAATTTATTTATTTATTGATTACTTATAATTACAGAACTGGTAACCAAGGCAGGCTATGAAAGACAAAAGATGTCCATAATCCAGCATACAACTTGTATTCTTTGACTAGAGAATGTTTGTCTTCTCTAAAATGCACGAAAGACAGAAACAGCAGACAGGATCGCTCCCATTCGATTTGACACCAGTCTAATCCAAAACTAAATACTCTTATTGTCTAGTGGTCTGCTATGGGTATTTCTAATGTGAAGTGAAATGCAATCACATGCATACAATATGGTCAGGTGATCAATTTAATCCAATCAATTTTCCATTTAAAATTGCCACCAGAGTAGGGGGACCTAACAACTATGGAAAAATTACAGAAGCCATTATTTCCATATAAACCAGTTTGGCTGAACCTTTAACTTAGCGCAATATTTAAAGTGCTTAATATACATTTTTACTAGTTAGCTGCGCCTCATTGAGAAATGTCAAGTTGGAATTAAACTTACAGCATAGTCTGACGTAAACTGCCATGTTTGTTCTGGTTGAGCGTATGTTGGTTCTGATCTTATTAACTCCAACAAAAATGTCAAGTCACTGTTGTCAGGCGACATCACCATGGAAGTTAGACTTGTACCTAAGATGGGCAGAACAGTTTAGTTAATGATCCACCCCCACATAGTAAAAGTTTTTTTTAATTCAATGGCAAATACTGTCGTGACTTTATTGCAGGAAATCTCAAGCTATGACTGATTTATGCTAAATTAAAAATAATTTTTTTTTATTTACTTTGATGGCTTGAAACAAACAATCCTCTAAACCGGGTTTCCGTTCTGAAGTTTACGACAAGCCGTCCATCTTCGTTAATACGCATGCTTGTAGGGTACAGGAATCCTGAAATAAACAATAATTACAATTGATTGATTGATTGATTTGTGTAGTTATTTACAGCTAAAAATATGATTCACCAGTGGTCAGTGAAAGGTACCAGGTTTGATCTGGGTCCCATACACAATTTGAAGAATGTTCCAGAAGACAACACTTAAATAGACATCTTACGTCATCTTTGTCAGAGGAATTCTGTGCAGGTTACAATAAATTTACCAATGTCTTTGAAATAGTAATGTCACATACTGCAGAAGCATTAAATTTCACTGGTATTTGATTTCATTATTTTGAGAAAACTTGAAAAAAATTTGTATTGTAATTTCAAAGATTCACATGGATAATTTAGCAGATTTTATTAACAAAATAGGTGGGAAATGTGTCATTAGTCATCAACTCGAATTGCAGCAGATTATAGATACTGGCAAACCAAATAGTGAATATAATTCAAGAGCAGTAACCTAGAGAGTCAGATGGATGATTGCATTCTTCTGAACTCCCTAAGTTGTTGCAAATGATTTTTGAACATAAACAGCAACAGGTAACGATCAGCAACACGCTGAAAATTAATCATTAACAAAATTGTACAATAAAGCATCTATGACTGTAATTCACTTCCATTGTAAAACACTAAATATAAAACAGATGCGTTTGAGTACGTACCTTGTAGAGTGGAATCGGGTGGTGTTCCGATACCGTCCTCCCAGAGTATAGCAGTGTCATACACGAATGTAAGCATTAATTGCGATTGCAAATCGAAATGTTGCCACCCACCAACAGCCACGGGCGAATGAAATATATAAGATACGTATAATGGTACTCTCAGAGTTACGTATGATTGTATTAAGTCCAACACCTACAGGAAACAAAATACACTGATCAGTATAATAATGCATACACTATTTTTTTTAACAAAATTAAAATAGACTATTTTCCGAAATTCTCAAGATCTCACAT